TGGGGTGTAGAGTTCCGGACCGTTCCGGACTTAGGATTCAAGACTCAGGTTTAGGCCGTATGAGAGCAGGTTTGCAGGCAGTTCTGAAGGAACCGCAGATCTCAGATCGTTTTCTCTTACAGCTTCGGACTCCCAAACAGCAGTCCTCAGCTGCGAAAGCTCGTTGAAATACGAGGAGCCCTGAACGCTATTCCCTGCCCCGACGCCTGACCCAAGTCAGCAAACTTCATAGCGATCTCGATCTGGCAAATATCCGACTGAACTTCAGGGCCAGCATCTGCGAGTTCTGTTGAAATTTCAGGGTACTCATGTAAGATGAGGACAAGGTTCAATTGAATAAGGATCCTCCTATTCGGGGTGTTGTTAGCGTCCCCAATTTTCTGCAACTCTATGTCAGGAAAGATGGTTTCGTGGCATTAGCAGCAAGCCTTGCCAACCCCAGCAAAGCCAGACCTCTAAGCCCTTTTGGCTATGACTACTTGGAAAACCACCGCCAAGTAATAGCTGTTGCATGCTGAGGGGCTGTCAAGAGCAAAACACAAGAGATTCTGCGCGTGTTCAGCTTCGCTTCGTCGAAGTCCTGCCTGAGCCAAAAGCGAGCGTTCTCTTGTAGTCCTTCCAAGTGAATGCAACTTCGAAAGTATTCACCTCGCGATGTCTGCTGCGAGGGAGCAGATGTCCCTGAAGCAGCTTCAGTCCGAGTGCTGGCGCCGCAGGCCAGAGAGCTAGTGTGGCTACCACAGGTTCATGTCACAGGAAGGTTGGCAGGCATGCGAGCGGGAGGCTCTACCGCAGCCTACATGGCTCCACTAAGCTTTCAATTCTTCGAGACTGTTCTCGACAGTTATAAGCCGAAGCAAAACCATCTTCAAAGTGTTGGTGCCAAAGATCTGGCTGTCAAGCTTCAGGAGCCCGCCCCTGCCAGAGCCACGGTGCAGGATCCCGTTTGTGAACCGGACGCGCGTGAGCAACATCGTCCTTCTGGAGACGGAGAATCCGGCACTCCGCTCAAGCTTGCCTTGTCGGAGGTAAAGGGCTTCAACCCTTTGCAGCTTGGGGAGTTGCGGATTCTGATTGTTTCTCCGTCCTTTCTCTTGCGCTTCAGCTGGCGACAAACGTGCTTGCACTGGATCATGCATCATCCTGCCGCTTGCTGCCAGCATGCGGACGGAGAAGCAGACCTGGTGAGAAGGTTGATTCAGGACCGGGGCTTCGTAACACTAACCCGGTTCTGGACCAGGGCTTTTTCCAGAGATGCTTGCTTTGTTCGGTAGGAACGAACTTGAGGTGGCACTTAAAGCTCTCAGAAGTAGTTGCGGATCTGGGCCTCCTAAACCCCAAATGCCTACACCCTTAGCCTTAACCTACACCCCCAACATCCAAAGCCCCATATCCGAGAATCCTAAACCTCAAAACCCAATCCCCTACTAGGCCCTGGAACCTCCTAGACTCATTAGACTATAGTTTATTGGCGTACCTTATATTGCCTGCTACTACATTATATTCATATGACCCCAAAAATCGTCCAGGACGCCTTTCCGGGAGCAACGGGGCCGCTGCCGGTCGGAGGCCGATGATTGGGGCAATGAAGGGCGCCGCAAGGGTTCTATTCTCTATACTTGGAGGTTCCTTAGCACTTATAAGTAGGGTTATAAGTAGGGCAACTGTAGGTATAACCTAGACTAGGGGACTTATAACCCCACTTATGAACCTCGAAGTAGATACTATTGGGTTTAGGGTTCTACACTCTGTAGGAGCTAGTTTCACGGCTTGTACAAGGATTTGTGGTGAAGTCGGCTTCATGAAGGTTTTGGAGGGCCTGAAAAAAATAAAAGGAGATTGGGTTCTGTAGACTTAGTGAGTTTTTGGCAGGGTTTTAATACCCACAGAACTGGATTGCACGAGGTTTTTATGAGGGTTCTTGGCACCCGATAATGTGCTGAAGGGAGTTGGGGCGTTAAGTTTGCGGAAGGAGCTGGCTGTGAGGTTCTGCGGCATACATTAACCCACCTGTTTTGTCTGTAGGTTCCTCTTTTTATTCCTAATATAAACCTGAGGGATCCTGAAAAGAAGCAGTTTCTGTTGGTCAGAGTAGGCGACATGTACAAGCCGCTGCCTCGCGTTCTTATAGACTCTTGAGATGCTCGGTCTGGTCAACCATATAGGGCGTAGTAGCGTGCGTGTTTACACTAAACATAGAATATCATCGTAGATTATAATATATTTAAGTGTGTTATAGTACAGTAGGGCAGGGTTTTACGGGACTTGAACTCCTCCCGTGGAATGCTTTTAATCTTGTACACTTCGGGCTGCGTGGCGGCTGTTGGAGGTGATCCCGGCATGCTCCATGCTGCTTGGTGGACCAGCGCAGTAGCCGAAGCTTGGATCAATGCGCAAGCCTCCCCCAAAGCTCCGCCAGGCATCTCCGGCGTCTGGGAGTGTGCAGCCCAGCGGCTGAAGCAACTACCAGCAGTTGGAGCAAGTTTCACTAACCTCCGAATGACACTCTAGCATTCTTGTTTCCAAGGTCCACGACTCCCCCGAGTTCATCAGGGGGTTCCTGGACAAGTGATTAAACACCACAAAGTCACATAGGTGGCGTTGTAACCATCAGACACACGAAACCCAAACACCACCCAGCCATTGCGCTTTGTCCCGCAAAGCTGCATGAAGCAATCTGCAAGACCGATGCGTCCTAGAAACGCCGGGAGCCATAAGTACAACCCCCCAACCACTTTGGTCGACTATACTATGCTATACTATAGTATAATAGTATTCTATAATACAAAACTATATTATTATTATTGTTGAAAAAATTTGAATAGTTCGGAAACTAAAGGAAGCCCGCATCATGGACCGAGGCCCGGCGAGGGCAGCTACAAAGGCGCGAAGCCAGGCCTTGGGCGCATGGAAGCACTCGCTGGGGTTGCTGTTAAGGAACTAAAAATAAGTTTCTACGATCTTCAATATAAGTTACTACAGTTTTCATGAGGAAACCCTATAGTATTTGGGGTTGCTGTTAAGGAACTCCAAATAACTAGGTGGGTGAAAGGGTTCCATAAAGGGCTACTATAAGGGTCTAGGGTATAGGGGCCTTAATAATTAGGGCAATTTGGGAAACTTTAAAATTTCCCTTAGGGTTTAGGGTTTAGGGTTTAGGGTTTTGGGAAACGAAAAAAACTTCCCTTATGGTTTCTGTAGAGGTGCCTCTTTATAATTACTTTTCAGGGCCCCAACACTACAACCCAGACTCAAAGAAGGAACTTAAGCTAAGTTACTATAACAGGGCCCTGGGATTCAGGATCCCTTGTATTCGTACTCTTCTTTTGGGATTCGTTCCCGGACCCCGCACCCTCAAAAACTTCTGGATTGCTCTTAAGGAACAAAAATTAAGTTACAATAATAAGGAGACCCTATATTATCCACTATGTATCCCCATTATGGTAACTTAAATTCAGTTCCAGCACAGCAACCCAAACTTTGGGAGGCTAACTGCTTCTGGATTGCCTGCTCGGAAGCTCATTCTGCGAAGTAGGTCGTAAGTTTGTGGTGGCGCTGCTGGCAGACCATACCGCCTGCATGCTTCAATTTTTGAGAGCGCCAGGCAGTCGCACCGAATCTGAGCGCGTGGCAGCGGGAATCCCAGAGGGTCCAAACTCAGAGGAACAAGCTCCAAGACAGTGTCAATGAGTTGGGGCTACTCCTTCAAAAGAGGATGACTGGTAGCACTATTTCTAACATCATTAAGTTTTACTAGGATTGTTGTTGCACTGTTGCTGGTTTCATTACTACCACTATTGCTATCATGATGATTATGACTTATGACTGTTATCATTACGTAGTATTTTCAAGAACCGCCAGGCATGGACGGGCGCCACGGCGTCGGGGAGCTCGGCTTGCTCCCTAAAGCTTACAAAGCTATGGTACCTATAAAGCCCTTGTTTGGCAGTACCATCATGGAGCTCGGAGTATCCGGGAAACCGAATATGGTTGCCTCAACACTTGGAGTGCGGTTTTTACATGGGTTTTAGAAGGATTTTGAAGGGTGGCACATCGGGGACGTAATGACTCGAATAGGGTTTTGGAGTGGGGTATATACATATACTCTAATGATAGCCCTCAACCCCCGAAATAATAATTCTTAGAATATGGTTTGGAGGTACCATATGCTAACTATAATAAAGAAGCCAAAGCAACTATTGCTCTGCCTTGTCGGTTTCAGTGTTCTTCTGTAGATGAGCTTCCTCACACCTTGAGACTTCCTTCAAACTGTCCGGATGCCACTTGCGAACTCGACGTGCTCTCAGCTCACAGCGGTGGCAGTTCATCAACAGGCTTCCGTTTTCACATGACAACTCTCGAAGACACCGCCACAACCCACAAGCCCCAAAGATCCGGTGCTAAGCCCTAAATTTAGCAAAGGTAATAGGTATAGTGTTACATATACCCTATTTATATGTAATGCAATACATATACAATGTATTCGTATATAGATAGATATACATATATATATATATAGATATACAATATATAGGGCAGCTGAGAATCGGCCGCTCAAGCCGGATCCAGAGGCCCGGCTACGACAAGATGCCGCAGAGCGGCGAAAGTCGTGGTTGGTCGGAGCCTTCCCCGCTTCTTCTCGCAGCAGCTGCATTAGGGCCGTGGGGTTTTTGGGGTTTAGGGTTTGGTTCCTGATTCTGGAGTTTTGGGGATTCTGTTTTGGTCGCATCGTGTCAGCAGCGCGCGATGCTTCATAAAATCTCGCTTCTTTGGTTTTTCAGCGTTGCTTGCTATCGGCGATCTTCTTATTTCAGGAGATAAATGCGACCTGCAAACAGCTGCTGGATTCGGCCTAATGGCTCGTTGCAAAGTACTGCAAACATCGCCCAAGATCCTGATCTGATACATGTTCACCACAGATGACTTCTCTCTACTGTCTTTTGCTTTGGAAGCGTGTCCTGCAGATGATGATCAGTCAAGCCTAGCGACATGCTGCAGAGGTCAGCACCATGTGGGCCACCGCCTGGTGCAAGGCAGGAGATTGTGGCTGCTGGTGCCCATGTTTCTCTTTGCTCGGATCAGGAACACTGCTGGAAATAGTGAACGGGTGATCACGACTGCTGAATCTTCTTCCATGACACATGGCGGGAAGAAGGCTCTACTGTCTGTTTTCTGACTAGGAGAACCCGTCCTCCGTCATTCTACCTAGGAGTATCCATGCCGACAGTGAGTTGTGCGTTTGATGTCTTGCTGCAAGTGCTTCGAAAACCCACCCCACCTCTTACCGGCACTCGGGTGCCGGCATTATGCTCACAATGAACAGTCATTTCGGCTGATCGGAAGGTCTTGCCTGGACGGACACAGAGTAGTGCTCGGCAGATCGATCTTTTTTTGATATAGGACTCTCCGAGCTTTTCAAAAACATGCCGTTGCTGGACTCACCAGT